GCTTAGAGGGGGAGGGGATTTGAGCCAGCGTTACGGTGGGTAATCAAGCCCGGGAAATCCGAGCAGGGGGGGGGGGGGANAGGCCTTTGAAAAAAAGCGCAAAAAATTGAAAATCCCGCCGTTCCCGAATGGAATTTTTCTTCTTTTTTTTCGAGGAAACAGCTTGAAAATCTTGATTCTTTTAAAATGGGGGGGGGAGGAGTCAGGCCAGCGTTACGTAATTCAAAAGGGGAGTGTGGGGCTGCGTTATGGGTGCTTTACAAGGGGAGAGGGGATCAACAAATCGGAAAAAGTGCGTTACGCAATACTTGAACGGGTTCCAAGAATATTGGGTTAAACTTCGAGGAAAGTAGTCCGTATAATGTAAGGAGAAAAAATTCCGAGACTTCCCAGCGGGCCGATTATTGAATCTGATAGACAAAGCGATAGACAAAGAAGACATAGGGAGTATAAAGCGATCCTATCGGTTGACATGGTTGGTTCTTATAGACTAAGGAAGAAAATGATGGACTAACTGTCGGGTCTTCAGTGGGTTGCCGTTAGTTAGTCTATTACCTACCTCCTATGTCCATTGCCATCACCTGCTTCCACCAATAGGATCTCTTCAAATCCTTTTCGTCGTCTTCGTCTATAGCTTTGTGTATAAGTTTCAATAATCGGCCCGCTGGAGACTTATATTCTATTAGTAACAATTTGGCAATGTCAGAATATCTATACGGGGTTTTTCCATCGCACGGCAATATTTTAGCCAGCTCCTGTTTTCTCGATCCACTGTTCGGAGAGAGGAAGGGGATGCACCGTGCCCGCGGATGTGTTTTCTGTTATGTACGCTCCACTCACCCACATCCATCGTGTCGCCATGGCAACCCACGCGGCCAACCTTCCCCACTGTTGCAGGACTAATGCCCCTCGAGTATGAAAATGTGCTCTGTCCTCCTCTCTGATGGCTTTGGTTTCGCCCGGCAACCGTGGTCGCCAAAATTGCCAAGAATTCGCGCAAGCATGAGAAAACTATCCAAACTGAGACCCGTAATAAGTAAAAGAGCGGAGAAAGGCACATAAGTAAACACATCTACTGGAATAGAATTATGTTTCCCACTGCCCGGTGAACCATTAAAAATATTTACCTTTGACGATATATCAGAGACACCCCCCCCCCAATACAATGTTATCCTCTCAATAGAGTAAATGTAATATACTTCCGGAAGTCAACGTTCAGACTCGATTAATGATAACCGCGAGATGGTAGTCGAAATTGATAGGCAAAGCGATGGAAAAAGAGGACATAGGGCGTACAGCGCGATCTTTTTGTTAGAAATGAGTGGTTAATTTATAGACTAAAGGGGTAAATGATGGACTAACTGTAGGGTCTCTCATGGGTTGCCATTAGTTAGTCCGTTACTTATCTCCTTTATGTCCATTGCAACCACCCACTTCTGCCAATAGGATCCCTCCATATCTCTTATGTCTTTTTTGTCTATAGTTTTGTTTATCAATTTCAACAATCAACCTGCTGATGGCCAATGAAATGAGTAATCGGTTTAATCTTAACCTTATTAGCAAAAAGTCGCCAACAGTGCTTACTCCGGCATTCATGAATCATCATTAGGCGATTTTTATTTGTTTTTGATCGTGGGTTGTTCTTTAAGCATAATCAGGCAAAATATAGCGTTAATCTCTAATTTTAAGCTTTTTCTCGCCCGATTTTTTTTTTTTTTTTTTTTTTTTTTTTTTTTTTTTTTTTTTTAACGTGGGTAGCTCACGTAAGGCTGACTTGGAACCATTCCCCCTCCTCCATTTCCATCTTCCTAGGATTTCGTGAGGCAAGGTTAGAATCAACACCACAAAGAGGCCAAACGGAACCATCTCAACACGGTGGCAGAGCGAGGGAAAGGACACGTGTTGACGACGGCGCAGAGATACAACTATTTATGCTTGATGGATGTCAGTGTTGCGTCTGAAAAATTGAAGGCGCCATGGCGCGCGGCGCAGCGTGAACATGCCACGCTTCGCTCTGTGCCGCCATTTAGGTGGGGCCGAACCCAAAAGATTCGGAAGAAGTTTTTTTTAAAAAAACGAATCCCGATTACGTAGCTCCTATTACTTATGTAACCCTCGAAGCACCACCTTAAATAGATTTTTAACCTCTTGAACTGCCTAGTCTTTAGCCTAAACCCATCTTATTTTGACTGCGTTCAGCAGAATAAAGGAACCAAGCCATATTAGCTCTTGCAAAATTTACCTCGGAAATTCAATTTTTTTTGTTTTGAAAACGGTTGTACGGATTTTTGTGCAAATTACGGTGAATTTGTTTGCATAGTACGAAGTAAGTTCCTCGACATTTTTAAAGTAATCCGTTCAAACGTTCTCTTGTCACAAATTAAATAAGTGCCCATAGTTAAATTCGACAATAGCTGATATGGCTTGAGTCCTATCTGCTAAAAGCGGTCCATTTAAAGTTAACCTCGTCTGAGCCTCAACAATCTGGCAACTGCGCGAGGCGTTTCACAGCATAGTGAAGTTGGCGCGCGCAGTTTTTGCACTCTAATTGAATTAAATTGTTGTTTCCAGTCGTATTTATCTTCAGGAGTCGACGGCCGCGGCGCTCATTCCGTTTCCGTGAGGATTTAAATTATTACGAGGGAACTTAACCGGAATCACTCGCGAGTGTGAACTAACACCAATCTTCTCAAATCTTGACGAGATCCACGCAGTCAAACACACGGGCTTTTACAACCTTTACAACCATCCTTTCAGACCTCTCCAAGCACGATTTTCGACGGGAAACTTTTCCTATACGTTTGTAGAAACATCTAATCACCTCCCGAAAGGAATTACCTATACTTTTTTGGTGTAGAACTACGTTTTCTCGGTAATCTAGGGAGTTTACTCTCAGAATTATCAAGAGATTCTCATCGACGGCTGAATGTCTATAAAACTACCTTCCAAAACAAAAACACCTAAATTTCGGATATTTCTAATTTTTTCTCGACAAAACGTTCCATCAAAGGATTTCGACGATTATTCATCCCTCATGTCGTCGTTTTTCTCACGAAAGAAGTAACTTACTTTCCGTTGTTGCCAAATTTCCATTCACAAATTTAATTTTTATCGGAAGAATTTAGGGCAATCCTAACTGAAAATTGCACTGATTTTTCCTCCGATTTCAAGTAAAAATCTAGACAAATGTTTTTGAAAAAAGCACGGATATAATCGTGTAAAAAAATGAAATGTTGCTGTCAATTTTACGTTTGTCATGTTTACAGCCCTGGAATGAAGTTACCTCCTTGGTTGATGGTCACATTATAAAAGAAAAAATTAACGTTCTTAGGAGATCATTAAGTTTGATACGAAACTACCTTAATATTTATAAAACACACATCATATTTTCCTTTTATACATATCTTTCCCCATCAATTTAAATGAGAATAATCCATGCAGAGTTTGCAAAAATTTCAAAATCATGAATTGAGAAACGTTGACTTCGCGAGTTTAAATATTAGAGCCATACGTAGAGCGGAGCGGCACGCGCGCTGGCTCCTACAAACCTAACATGGATACTTCACGCATTGCGCAATGCGTGAAGTATCCCTGTTAGGTTTGTAGGCGCCAATGCGCGTGTCACGCTGATCGCCCTCGCCCGCCATGGCGCGGCGCTTCAAGCAACTACTTCACAACAGAGGTGTTGCACAGTATCGCGTGGACGTAAACTACCAGAAAAAACAGGTGCGCAGACGAAAACTCGTTGAAGAAATGTCCTATAACCAAAATAGCACTATGTAGAAAATAAAGTCGTATGTAACAACATTTGGTCGTAACATGCATCCGAGAAATTCAGTCTCTTGGTTTAAAGTTTTTAGTTTTGATGTTGATCCGAGTCGTTCGAAGGGTATATCTGAAAGAGTTCATTTTTCACTCCATGTTCGTACGTACGCTTCAATAAATGGACGAGTAAAAATGTATGTCTTACATGGAATGATCCGTTTTGAACTGAAATACATTATTTAGCGAAGAGATCGCGAAGTTTTATCTGCACCCTTAACTGATACACAGTGCCTTTAAATTACATAAGGATCTCTCAGTGTACTGATTTTGAGAGCAATAAGTATGTATCTTGGAAATTTTCTGCATTCCTAAAATGAATGTGAGCAATTAAAGAGAGAATTGGAGCATGGCTGTTGCAAAAACTAGTTGGAGCCAAAAAAAAAAAGAAGCATCTGTCCTGTCCTCGTGCAAAACTGCGCGTAAATAATAATTGGATTAGCGGATCCGTGACATATTTAATCCACTGCATTTCTCGCTGTTTCCGTAAAAATATCGTATACATTTCTGTATTCCTAGCTTTCAGAATAGCTGTTTACACCAATACTGACCGGTTGCAATTCTCTAAAGTTGGCAAAACTATACCAGCTTTATTCCTTCATTTGAATCCATTATAACTATCGACTGATGGTGTTCCACCTATCGATTTATTGAATGCATTCAAATGAAGGATTATCAGTGTTGCCTGTTGCCAGCTAATCAGAATCACCACCGATACGGACTTGCAAAAACCTCTTATCTGTAATTAATTGACGCCTAAGAAAAGGTGGTTGATTCAGCTTATATTCTCAACCGAGGATCCGCATACACATATTTGCTGACTAGAATCGTGGGTGTAGCGCATATTTTCTGAAGCAGCAAATATGACCCTGGACATCTTTGAATATATTTTTTCCAATGGGCAGATACAATTCTATAATCTTACTACGTCACGTGTGGAATAAAACGTAACTTTTTAATTTTTAGGAACTTTCGTAATTTCTGGGAAAATAACGCCGCAGATGCGGATTTATGTTGGATTATTCGAGGTTTGCAACAACTTAACTAACTATTCTTTGCTCCACCAATCCGGGGTAATTCGTCACGGAAAACGTAAAAAGCTTCTAGTAAGCAACTAAGTATGTTTGGTAAAGACTTCTAAGCATTGGTTTTTCATGAATCATTGATTTTTCATACAGGTATACATCTGGACTTTGATTCCAACCATTATACTTCAAGAGTTTATGAACAAATACAAACTGTAAGTGTTTAATGCAGGAAATTGTGTACGTAATCCTGGAATTCTTCCTTCAACCGTATGATATTGATGAGCAGACTGACTGTTGCTAGCTCAAACTATGTGTGATACCTCTCATTGACAAACGCGTTCCCAAATGATCGACAGATTCGATCTCACTAAGCCGCTCCATTCGATCTCCAATTGTTGCGGGACGATGTGATCTCAAACAAAATCAAGATGGCCCGCCTTAAGCCGGTCAAGGTGAATGTTCTCATCCACGGCCACAAATCCAAATACTTCTCCTATCGATGGCCATCAACTTACGACCCCGTAAATTTTGTGTCGAAAAGTTCGGAACATCACAACCATTCTTTTCGTCAGTGTTAGACCACATCGCTTAGTGCTTTTCCGAAATCTGATCAACGCAACATCCGATTAAGTCTTGTGTCAAATTTAGTGATATCACTCCTAAAAGTGCCCACGACTTGTAAAATCTACCACCATCGGTTCTTGTCCCACGCGGAAGGAGGCAAGCGTGGTGAATCCAAGAGGTGCGGACTCTGCGGTTTTTGTTAAGAAGTGGCGACTTGTGTGCAACGGAGCTTAAACCCTTAACTCGAGTGTTTGTTTGTCACGAGGAGTGACTCGGCGAGTGCTGCGGATGCGGATAGGTGCGGGAGCGGTGTGGGTGTGGGCGCGGCGAGCGTCATCGTGTGTGCTGGGCGGAGCCAAACAGCGGGGTGGGGGGCGTCTCGTGTAAGTCGTGCTGTTGCGCGCAACAGCCTGCGCAGAAAAAGGGCGGGGACAGCGGAGGAGGAGGCGGCGCCGGCGCTGAGGACACCCCTGGGGACGCCTCCGTCTCGAACGTACGCGTGGTCGTCGAGCAACCGTCGCTAGACGGGGGCACTGGCGGGAGGCGGAACAAGGAGGGCTCCGCCCCCTTGGCCCCGCCCGCGGCTCTCCACGACATCCACGAGGAGGAGGAGGACGGCGCCAACGAGGACGACGGCGAAGACCCGCTGTCGGCGAGCTCGTCCTCGCTCACGATCCAGCTCCGCCGCGACCAGAAGAGCTGCAACAGCCCCTCGCCCACGTTCTCGGCGACGCTTTTGAAGCTCTCCTCGGAGCGGAAGAAGCAGAAGAAGGGGCGGACCCGCTCGGTGACGAGTACGACGAGCTCGGATACATGTGGCAGCAGCGGATTCAGCGGCCCCGGCAGAATGCAAGCGGAACAAGGTAGTATCGGCGAGCTCCACAAGTACCATCAGCGATACCTCCGCAACCGCCGCCATACTTTGGCCAACGTTCGGTGAGTCAAAATCTTCCTTTCTATCTCCACCTTTCCCTATACTTTTTCTCAATCGGCTCACTTCCTGACCACGTGGAAAGTTCTGCATGAGGTTCTAACACAGCGAACTACCCTGGTCTATTGGTTCTGGGGCCGATACTACCTACCATTGGTCTTACGGCACTATCAACCAATCCCTTTGTTATTTTGATGAGCACAATACCTTATTCACTTTTGAGTGATGATACATCAAGTAATGGTACACCAAGTAATGATACAACAAGTAATACATTGAGTATTACATGAAGTATTGATACATCGAGTAATACATTGAGTATTACATCAAGTAATGGTACATCGAGTAATACATTGAGTATTACATCAAGTAATGGTACATCGAGTAATGGTATATCGAGTGATGACTTATCTTTTCCTCGAAATTTTTTGTTTCTCGCAATTCTCACTTTGAAATGAGCTCTTGAGTAAAGTTTTAAAAGCAGAATATCAAAAAATTGACGAAAATTGGAGGATTTGATCGAATTTTGACCAGAATTTGTCAGGTATTGGATATATGCGTAGCATAGTGAAATTCAGAGCCGGATTTATGGGGTGGCCACATGGGCCGCGGCTCATGGCGGCTTTGGGGGCGGCAAATTTTGCATTTTTTTTTAGAAGATACAGGTATAAAAAAAAATTGAATTCGGAAAACGAAAAGAGGCGACAAAATGTCTCATCTCCTGAGAGTATAGTAATTTCTAAGTTTGTCGTCTTTCGGTGATACAAGAGACAGTGCCTCTAATTAGTCGAGTTAGGAGAGAGACCTAACACGCAATTTGGCCTGTAGCGGCGCTGTGCAGAGAGCAATGATGACGAGGACTTGAGATGAAAAGGAGAAGCTCTCGGCGCGGCGGTCGGCATGTAACACATATTCGCGCCTACGAGACTGCATGAATACTTCACGCGCTGCGTCAAACACAGTGCGGGCAGCGTGAAACGCAAGCGCCTACGAGATTGCCTGATTACTTCAAGCATTGCGTCAAACACAGTGCGGTCAGCAGCGGTCGACGTGAAACGCATAGCGCCTTCAAGACTGTCGGTATAATTCACGCATTTTGCCAAACACAGTGCGGTTAGCGCGGCGCGGCGGCGGAAGTTAAAATTATTGAACCACATTTATGTTTAATCTTTCATAATTTTTCGATTATTTCTCATAAATAAAAGGCCTTGTCTACTTAGAGATAAGTTCACGGAACTTAACTTTCTTGCAAAATTCCGTGAAATTTTGTTAGTGTTGACACGGCATTCACAAAAAATGTGCCCAACGCGAGTAAATGCGTCTTATGCACCCCCCCCCTCCGGCACGTTCACTTGATGGTTTTCGTTGATGTTTCAAAACGAATGAGAAGGAGGCGGTAAAATACAGGCGGCCAATTGGGCGGTAGGTAGGTAAATCCGTCCCTGGTGAAATTTGGCAAAATTCCCCATTTTTTTTACATATATTTCTCCAGAAAACTTAATAGTGGAACTCATTTCGAAACCTAAGCCAATTTCCGAGTACTCAAAAAGTTTAATGACCTAATATAAGGGAAATAGTGTTTTTGAAAGTATTACGCTCATCAAGATGGATAGACCCAGTCAATGTGGATCCACCACTGTTTGCCATTTGTGGGTTCCTCCGGCGTTTAAGCGCCCCTGAAAACTGAGGTATTGATTATAGCTCAATGTTTGTCCGCACTCTAAGAGTTTATTATAAAAAATTATCCCTAATCCCTCTTCGGAATCAATCGTAATACCATGACATTTTGTCTACAAGGGCCTAATGGAATATTTGGATTACATTTTGCAATAAAGAGCCACAGTCTTAGGCTGCTCCATAAAATCACCTCTCTACATAAGGAAAACATTGGCATGTACGATGTCTCTGAAATAAACTAAAAAAATTGGTTCCTTATTGCAAAATGTGGTCCATTTTTTCTTTACAATTTTCAAGAATTGATTTGTGATTGAATCGAGTGTCTCTGAGAATATATACATAAAAAAATAAACTTTGTATAATATAAATATTCAATGCAAGTAAAATAGACAACGTATCGATGACTTTTACGGCGTTTGTTTGAGCATAGCACCTCAGCAAACAGTCGGAACGTTCCAGACCGTTTCGAATGGAAACTTGATTTTACTTTGATTAAAATTTTCAAATTATGATAAACGTAGATCAATCAATTGAAAATGTTTTTCCTGGCAGTATCAAGATTCGTTTCTCAAAGTCACTTCTTAATCACCGATCTCGAAAGGAAAGTCCATTACCCCCGTCCTTAACTTGATGAAATCACCGATTCATGTTGTTCATTTCCTCCGTCTGGTTCCATTCCTGCCCCCCTTCATATCCTCCCCTTGCATTGTGAGTCTCCTCCTATTTCGATTCAAGGAAGCAATTTTCCTCCATTTCCCCTCCACTCGTTCAGGGACCCGGGGCCCTGGTTAAAAACAAATAAAATCGTGATAAACGCGCAGTAAAGGGGACATAATGTTTTAGCGATCAGATATCGATCGCTGCTTTGCACGCTATAACATCCCTTCGATTAGCTACCCCTCCCGACTTCGGAATCGTTAAGACTCCAGAACAGCTGTTGAATACTGCCGTGCTAAAGAAGAACGCCATGTGAGCCTTCCAAGCGCTGCCAAATTTCCTTTAGTAAATCACGAATTTTCGGGAATATTTTTGAATATTTCTCTTCCAATTTTTCGGATAATTTTGTTCACAATTTTACCTTAAGTTCCTGAAAATTTCAAGGGGAAGTATCCATAGCTTTTCTCGAAAATAAATATTTTATCGAAGGAAATTTGGCAACTCTCGAATGTTCATATACGGCGTATTTCCTCAGCACGGCAGAATAGGTTTCACGTTATATATCATATGGATACATTCGAACGACGCTCACGGAGTCGTACGGTTGCAGAAAGACGAGTTACGATTTTTAAAATTTTACAAAATATATAAAATTACTCGTTTCGAAGTATTTTCCTGAAGGACTATAGGATTGTGCTTAAAAATGAGCTTAAAGATTGTGCTTAAAGAGCCATAAAATGTAATGATGTGTGGCAAAAAGGCTTCTAGGTGTTGAATCTCAATTTTTTCATTTCAGTGGGAAGAAAAACGATCTGGATGAAAAAATATTGATTTGCTCCTGCATGAATTGCAGAAAGTTATGTAAAATTTGGGACGAGGCTTGTATATCTCTTATCTCATAATGTATGACGTCATTTAGTATTCTGCCTCATTCCGAGATTTCTGCATCAAGTCGGGTACAAGTACTTTTTTTCTCAAAATAGACTGTTTATTTTCTTGATTGATATGATCTCATGCATCATGCACCGGCTTAAAATGGTTCAAATAAAACTAAGTTGAAACATAGTATCATACGCATGGGCCTGTTGCAAAATTTTGTTAAAACAAAAATAAGAGTTATCATAGATAATGTCTCAAAAATCACGATAAGCGCATCGGTATACTCTGAAATGCACTCCTAATTTCACAATCTGTGTAACAAATTTGCGTTTTTTAAGCTTCCCGCTTCATATGTATGTATACAGCATAGGTGATACTACAGCATAGGTGAACATTTCGTTAGAGGAGTCGTTCCATTCAATCCCTGCTCAACATGGCCGACGCCTCCGTGCGCAGGTTGAAGAGAGCACGAGGTCAATCAAGACGGATTTCTATCAACGCGAGAAAAATGTGAATGTAAACCGTCGATTGTTATTAGGTGGTCAGAATCATCTTACACTGTCACATGTGTTTTGGCGGATTGGCGTCGGCTATGTTGAATATTGCGTAGTGTCTCTGTAAGCAAGAGTTGGATGGAATGACTCCTCTAAAAAATGTTCAACTGTGTCGTGGTGTCGTTTTTGAAGCGGGAAGCTCGAAAAACGCAATCTTATGCAAATTGCGAAGTAAGAAGTGCATATCAGACTTTGCCGATGCGCTCATCTGTATTTTTGAGAC